TTGGGGGTTGAGCCATTGGTGTCGAGGGAGAATGTTTGCGGGGTGGCGTTCTGGCCAGTCGGGGCCGGTTGAGAGGGTTGCGAGGATGTTCCCGCGTCGCCGTTCCGCAATGTTTGGAGTCCTTGCTCCAAGCTGGTGAGTCGCTGAAGAAGTTGTGCGAGAACTTCGGAGTTGATTGTCGTCGTGTTCTCGCTTGTCGCAGCCGGGTTGGTGCGCGCTTCAGCCGTCAGATTAGTCTGACCACCAGATCCTCCGGCCATCTTCACTCGTGAGCGTGTGCCGGACGCCACTTTCCGAATGTCGCAATTTTCGGGAGTGGCAGTGCGAAGGATTCCCGAGCCGCTCTCATACCATGCTGCGATCAGAAGTTGATCGTAGCCCAGGATCTACCCAGGAAGGTTCGCACGCAGTGAGATAGTTTGGTGGGCCCTTGACCTCAATAGCAGAGTGAATGTAAAATGCTTGAGATGAATAAAACATGCAAATACAAGGAATATAAATATGAGTACAGGGGAATATAAATACGACCTAACTAGCCATGTACTCAAAGGGGTACATTCCCTTATTCAAATTCATTCCAACCGTGCGGCGCGTACAGTTTCGTAACTGTTCCCGCCAAAACCATCTTGCCTGCAGCTGCCCGATGCTGTCTGCTCCGACGGTCCAGATGTGCTGTAACCGTCCGACGCTTCGATTCAATTCCAACCGTCTGACGCTTCGCGTTCGTTCTCGGTATTGCGTGCTTCTCTTTGCTGCGGTGAGGAGTGCACAGTAATATCAAATATTACGATTCGTAACAGAATTTTAGGACTATTTGTATTCCTACGAAAGTATACGATTCTATCGAATAGAGAATAGTATTCGAATAGTTAATATTCTTTTACACCCTTAGCGCTGCTGCTGCAATCTCTTCGCATCCCTGTGTCCCTCATCCCCCTTTCACTCACCCATCCTCCCATTGCCACCCTCCCATTGCCACCCTCCCATTGCCGAATTCTTCCCCTGTCATTTCCTCCTGCCTCTGCGCCTTCATGCATGCATGGGCCGCACAAGCTCACCCAAGCATCTGTTCATCATCCCACCATCCATCTCGCCTCACCCGGCCTTTCCATTGCATGCCAACCATTACATGCCTGCCATTGCGTGCTCCCACCCTCCCACGCTCCCACCCTCCCACCCTCCCACCCTCCCACGCTCCCACCCTCCCACCCTCCCACGCTCCCACCCTCCCACGCTCTCACCCTCCCACGCTCCCATCCTCCCACGCTCCCTGCCTGCCACGCTCCCAGCCTGCCACGCTCCCAGCCTGCCACGCTCCCAGCCTGCCACGCTCCCAGCCTGCCCACAACTCGCTCACCACTCGTGGTTCAGCCAGCACTCCCATGCTCGCACCCTCCCACACTCCCAGCCTGCCCAGCACCTTGTGGTTTTGCCAGCGCTCACCGCCTATTTCCCCTCCGCTTGTACCATCTGCAACCTCCAAGCTCCGTGCTGCTCAGCTGCTCATGTCTCCCTCTCTCCTGCGTCTTCCCTCCTCATCACCCAAAGAGTGCACTGATTACCTCATTACCGTGGGATGCGCTGAATGCCACCCAAAGAGTGGACAGGATTGCACTGCATGGAGAGGATTGATTGCTCGCACCGCTTCACTTGCCACTGAGTTCCCACCCACGTTGTCACTCTGTCAAAAATGGCTGAATCCAATGCCCCCCTAACAGTCAAAGACTCCCACGTAGCAATCACATTCATCCTACCTCTTCCCTTTCCTCTTCGCCATATACCTCACCACCTTTCCCCTTTCCCCCTTCGCTCTCATGTTTCCCATTCCTGCTTCCCGCTTCCACCTTCCGCTTTCTGCCTCCCCCGTTTCCCCTTCCTTTCCCCTCCCCATCCCTCCTCCCCATTACTACCGTTCCTCCTCCCTCGTTTCACCGTTCTCCGTTCCCTTTTCACACCCGTTCCTCCTCTCCATTTTTCTTTTTCCTGTCCTCCTCCCACTCCCCCCTGCTCCTTTCCCCATGCCCTTTCCTCTCCGATTGTTCCTCCCCGTCCCCTTAAAGCCTTTACTTACTCGCCTGCAGGAGTGTGGTACGCAGCTCGCCATGGTCTCACATGCGACTCGCCACCGTGCACTGTGAGTGAGGAGGGGGACTGGGGAGGGCAGTGGGGAGGATAGGGGAGGGCGGCGGGGGGATGTGCCATGTCTATCACATGAGGCTGCATAAATTGTGGAGGGGTGGGAGATTGAGGAATGGTGGGAGATTGAGGAATGGTGGGAGATTGAGGAATGGTGGGAGATTGAGGAATGATGGGAGATTGAGGAATGGCGGGAGATTGAGGAATGGCGGGAGATTGAGGAATGGTGGGAGATTGAGGAATGGCGGGAGATTGAGGAATGGTGGGAGATTGAGGAATGGCGGGAGATTGAGGAATGGTGGGAGATTGAGGAATGGTGGGAGGGAAAATGGTGCGTGGATGGGTGGTGCATTGAGGTGGGTCGTCCCTACAGGTGTGGAGACTCAGTCAGCTGGCCGAGCAGATCGTGATTTGGTATCGCTGTGCATGTGCGCGCCAGCACAGGAGGATTTCTAGTACTGTCTCAAAGTGCCTAGTCATTCGACTGACCAAGGCTGCACTCGGCACTGATTCCTTCCATCAATCTTTCTCCGTGCACCTTTCCATTTTTCTCCATGCACCCTGCCAGTTTTTTCTCGCTGCCACCGTGGAATTGGGTGAGAAGAGGGTGACACGGGGGATGGCGTGTGGCGCTAATGTGTTCTGACACCTGAGTTGAGCATGCTGTGTTGTCGCTGTTTGTGCATGCGCGCCCATTGTTCTGCAGCTTGTACTAGCAAATGCTGTGTGCTCTGTGAGTGCAGCATGTGTTCACTGACTTGTTCACAGTACTCATCATCGCCCATCTCCCATCTCCCATCGCTCATCGCCCATCCGCCATCTGTCAACCGCTATACCCCATGCATGTGCATTCAGGGCGTGGTGGCGAAGGATGTGTTCACGGTGTCGTACCATGGGGGCCACTGGATGATGAGATGACCACGGTGAGATGAAAAGAGAACGGTGTGATGAAACGAGAACGGTGAGATGAAACGAGAACGGTGATATGAAACGAGAACGGTGAGATGAAACGAGAGCGGTGAGATGAAACGAGTTCAGTGAGATGAAACGAGAACGGTGAGATGAAACGAGAGCGGTGAGATGAAACGAGTTCAGTGAGATGAAACGAGCACAGTGAGATGAAACGAACACAGTGAGATGAAACAGGCATGGTGAGACGAAACGGGCATGGTGAGATGAAACGAGCATGGTGAGGTGTAACAAGCATGGTGAGATGTAACGAGCATGGTGACAAGTAACGAGCATGGTGAGATGTAACGAGCATAGTGAGATGTAACGAGCATGGTGAGATGTAACGAGCATAGTGAGATATAACGAGCATGGCGAGATGTAACAAGCACGGTGACCTGTTCTTCTGACTCTGCTGCTGCCTGCTTCTCCGATTCTCTCATGCAAATGCTTCCACCCCTTCATATCTCTTACTCTTTCCCCTTTCTTCTGCCCGAACCTCAACCACCCTGTCCCTCTCATCCTGCCTTGCAACCCATTATCTGAGAACTGTCAAAACTCTTTCATGTTCTCTTCTGTCCCCTACCTCGCCTCTTCCCCCCCTCGTCAACCCCTCCGACCACCCATGTCATGTCCTTTTCAATCATTCCATCTCTCCCACGCTTTCTCTTCTCTATCTTCTCTAACTTCTCTCCCATTCCCCCCCCACCCCTTCCCCCCATGCCCCTCCCAGCACACACTCAACGCCCACAGTGAGATGAAGCGATCACGGTGAGATGAAACGACCACAGTGAGATGAAACGACCACAGTGAGATGAAACGGCCACGGTGAGATGAAACGACCAGGTGAGATGAAACGACCACGGTCAGTTGCGTGCGTGTCCACTTGCACACACCCATTCCATACCCCGCCTTATCAGTCAGTTGCTCTCATTCTCATTCCGCTTACCCGGGTTTTGCTTTCTTCACTCCTCATGCTTACACTCCCCCACTCCCCTCCCATGCAGCTCCCAGCTCATCCACAACGCCCTCAACTACACTCTCGCAGCCAGACATTGAAGCACAGGAGAGCTATTGGTGTCTTGAGGCACCTTATAGTGAGGCAGAGAGCTTCCAATGTCTGAAGACACCTTATAGTGAGGGCGAGGGCTAGTAGTATTTCGAGGTACTTTATAACAAGGCAGAGAGCTACAAGGTACTAGGAGTAGCCCCAAGCACATGACAGGGCTGGGCAGTAGGCATGTTTCTGATGCTTCTCTCTAATTGAGATTGGATATGCCCCAGCTTGTCCCCCACACAGCCGTAGAGTTTATTTGTGAAACCATTCATATCTCCACTCGTCTCTATTGACTAAAATCATTCAGACAGACAGGTACCTAAATTCCACCCTATCTTGCTCGGCAGGCCAAGCACGATGCAGCAGAGTACCAGGCTGATCTTTTTTCCAGTCACAAAAGCATTCAACAAAAGCCCTCAAAAGAAGTCCCAAATCCACCCATGCATGTCCTACATTGGGACTCGTGCAAAACTGTAGTATGGTCAGTGTTGCGCAGCTGCTGGATCGACCTCCATTAGTCATAGTAGGACGTGAGTCCAAGTATGGCGTAAACATCGGAAGGCACCGGCTCTGGGCCAAGCATCGTGCAGCCGCGGACATTCAGCACTCGCAGCAGCGTCAAGTTGCACAGCTGCTGCGGCAGCGACTGAAGCTGCACACAGTCCCTCAGGTCCAGCTCTCTGAGTCGTGCCAAATGGTGCAAGTTGGGAGGAAGGAAGTGAAGAGCCGTCTTGCTGACATCCAATTTGCGAAGGTAAGTGAGGCTGGTGATAGAACCAGGCAGGCTTGTCAGGGAGGAGCAATTACGCAGGCTAAGGTCGCCCAATCTTGATAAGGACGAAATGGTCTCCGAGATGGGTCAGCTTGGAGCTTCCATGTGAAGAGATGTGAGTTGCACCAGCCGCATCACACTTTCTGGAATCTCCGTGAGAGATTCCGCTCCTTCCACATGCAGCTGCCGCAGCTGAGGCAGAGCAGAGCCGATCTCATGAGGCAGGTGTCGCAAAGACACTGCATTTGAGAGGCGTAGATCACGGAGGCGTGAAAGGAACCCGAGCAGGAGTGGAGGCTCTGTTTGTTCAGTACCCAGGCGCAACTCCAAGTGCTCTATCTGAGAGAGGCAACGGCTGGTTGTTGGTGCGTTCCTGATGGTAACCCGAATCAGATTCAGCTTCTTGAGATTTGGAGTCGCTGACAAGTCTGGAAGAACGATGCTCCTGGTGTCGTTTCCCAAGCTCAAGGTTTCCAAAGACCGCGGCAGTGATTCCAAAGACCGCGGCAGTGATTCCAAAGTCTTCTTCAGACGAACACAACCCGTCAAATCCAGCTCCCGTAGGCATGAGAGGTTTTCCAAGGCTCGAGGTGCAGATGCGAGCTTGATACACATGGGGGCCTCGAGAGTGTTGAGGCGGGTCAGTTGAGTGATGGATGCTGGCAGTGCTGTCAGCTTACTGCAGCAGCTCAAGGTCAGCTCCCGCAGGTCACCAAGATGGCTTGTACCCTCCGGCAGCCGCTGCAGTTGCTCAGACCAGCTGAGCACCAGAGTGCGCAGATTGGTCAGCTCGCCTATCCCCTGGGAATTGACTTGAGCCTTGATCGTGTGATGCTCAACGATTCAAGAGCAGCCAAGCAGGAAATCGTTGCAGGGAGGGTGACAATGCCCACACGGTCCAAGGATAGATTCTCAAGCCCTGTGAGTAACCCAATGGAATCGGGGAGTCTCCTCAGCGACAAGCTTCTCAACGTTAACGACTTCAGCGCTGGAAAATCTCCCAAATTTTGGGGCAGTCTGGATACACTGTTGTTGAAAATGGTCAGAATCTCCAATTCGCTAAGGCTCGTGAGGGAGTCTGGTAGCAGTAGCTCAGGGAATAAACGCTGACCGAAAATGCAGAGTTCGCGAAGTACCGGGAACTGCTCTCCAAGATCGTCAGGCGGGATGCTCATAACATTGCTTAGCAGCAGACGTTGAAGACGGAAGCACGGCGACTCTGGCGGAAACATTGAGAATTCCGTTAACCCCCGCACGAATCTCAGCGAACGAAGACCTGTCAGTTGTCCAAACGAGAAATCCCCCTCGAAACTGTGAAAGTACGCCTCTCCTGGGAAGAACAGGCTGGTCAGATTTGATAGGCGAGTTAACGAAGACATCTGATTTAACCGCTCGCCCAGATTACGAATAGAGAGCTTCGTGAGAGAAGCAAGATTCGCGACGTTGGGATCCTCCAAAGGCGAAATATCTCCAAGCGACAGCGTGTGCAGGCGCGTCAACTGGAAGAAGGAAGGCGGAAGCTGTGTGGTCCAATGGAGGCACTGGAGTGACAGCTGCTCCAAGCGGCGACAATGGCGGAAGAGACTGTCCAGCTCAGCTGCCGTGACGGGGTACCCTGAATCGTCCTCCTCATCGTCACGGTTGTCGATTGGAGCAATGCCTTCGCCGACGTGAAGAACGGTTAGGTTTGGTGACGACGAGCCGAGAAATGCGAGGAAATCGTCGTCTATCGTTTCCATGCTTCCGTCGCTCAAGTGCAGGCGAGTGAGATTTGGGAAGGACGCCAGAATGCGTTTGAGATCCTCGCGAGCCACCAGACGATTTCAAGAAACGAGAAGCGTTGTGACGGATTCGTGTGCGAGCTCCCACCAGCGACGGCAGACTGAGGCAATGAGGAGAACGTGAGCGACATCGGCAGAGGCAGGAGGTGTCGAAAAATGCGGGTCAGGCTCTGAATCTTCGTTTTCCTCGCTTCTAGCGTAATCCGAAAGAGACAATGACGAGGTCGGCCGGAAAGCGTCGGAAAGCCAGAATATTCTAACAAGAACAAGGTCAGGAAGACAATGTATCTTAGTAGACATTCTCATGTCCTAAAAATGACGAGCTAAAGCTTGGCTTTTGCGACGTTTGATCGACAACCACAACTAAGGTTGGGAACGGATGCGTCTAGAGAGGATGCTGATCGGACAGAGCACAAGCCAGACTACTGCCAGTAGCGTTATGGTACAGTAGCCAGTTTTTGGGAAGAGGGAGGGACAAATCCGCCCAGAGGGCAGGTTCGTCTCTTGGGGGTGGCTTGAACGAAACCCTCGCCATGGACGCAAGTGGTAGGTTGGGGTGACATCTTGTTCAAAGAGCAACGTTCCGACGCTGTAACGAGCCGTTACTCACGAAAATCTTACTGGTCACGATTTAGGTTGGAAACTAGTTACCCTGTCAAACGAGGGTTCTGGTGTGAAGCAAACCGTGCTAGTCGTTGTAAGGTACCCCTTAGGACGCGTCACATTTGACACATCGAGGGAGGGCCGGGTTCACGCACCGAAGCTGTGTGCATCGATCACCTCTGAGCCACATGTGTCGCAATCATCTGCAAGATCGAGATTTAGCGGATTTAGATTCGGTATTGACAGTTGTAGACGCATTAAGTATGTTTTAAGTGCGGTAACAGATCGATCTGGAAAAGACATCGCGCTCAATGACGTGTTTCAAGCTCTAGCGACAATCAGCGAAATAGGGATACAAGACATGGCGACTTACTGTACATCCCACACATCGATCCCCTGCAGGATCGATGTTTCAAATGTGACGCGTCCTTAGTAGGGGAACGATTTGAAGTTTAAAACTATTGGTTGTATTAGGACAAAACAATGTGACAACCTCCATAAGCAATATGAGCATTATATGTGATATAAAAGAACGTCCTCTTTAGACAACACGATTAAGGGTTAAATTTCCAAAAAAAAAAAAAAAAGGTGAGGCATGTACTGTAATTATGCAAGTTTTTATGACTCTTGAGTGGAAGGACGGCTAGTACAACGAGAGGAGAAAGATGGTGATAGTCATGGGCATCATGATACGTGGAATGGATTCGATCACATGATGCTGATGTTGCTGATCCAGCAGGTGCCTGCACAAAACAAATAGAAAACACGTGCAAAACACGCAAGGAAAAAAAAGGGGGAGGACTGCTTCAATGTCAGCCATTGACCACGGCTTTGGCACCATTGTCGGGCTCCGTGGCTGCACAGGTAAGCACGTCAAAGGGTAATCCAGCAAAGTCCCCCATATGCCATAGCCCTCCAAAATCTACTGTACTGACCTCCATGTTTAAGATCAGTTGGTTACATAGATATTGACACAGCAAGCACTGACGACAAGAAAAGGTGCTGTTGCCAGGGAACCAGCTGAGGAGATTGCTTTTGGACAAGGAGTCCGGCTTTGGGATGGCAGGATGAGAGGGATAAAGAGTGGGCTAGAGGGAAAGAGAGGAACAACCGGATGAAGAGACCAATGTACAATGGGGGTGAGATATTAGAGGACGAAACCAACTAGGGGGACTGTTGGAAATAGAATAGGGGAATGGTGATAGAATGGCTGGGATGAGATTGAAAAGAGATATAGCAGCACTGCAAACATTAAGCTATCTCGCATTGACATTTTCCCAATCAGACTGTCATTGTTTTTTTTTTTCCTTGACAGCTTCCCATTGCGCTTGTTCTAGTCAATTTCTATTTCATTCCATTCAGACATCCTGCCATTGACATCCTTCCATCAAAGGTTTTGGCAATTTCCACCCAAATTCCCATGCCTGCCATACCTGCCTTACCCGCCATACCTGCCATACCTGCCATGCCTGCCATACTTGCCATACCTGCCATGCCTGCCATACCTGCAATAACTGCCTTGCCTGCCATGCTAGCCATGCCTGCCATGCCTGTCATACCTGCCAGCCATACCTACCATGCCTACCATGCCTACCATGCCTACCATGCCTGCCATTCCTGCCATACCTGCCATACCTGCCACACCTGCCATACCTGCCATACCTGCCATACCTGCCATACCTGCCATGCCTGCCATACCTGCCATACCTGCCATGCCTACCATGCCTGCGCTCTTAGCTTTGAGTTAGTTAATTTCATTGTTTTCTTAGCCTCTTGTAGCTACGTATATCACATTGATTAGCTAATGCTAGGGGAAGGGAGGAGTGAAGCAGGAATAGGGGAGTGTCAAATGGGTTTAAGTTGGTTGGTTCTTGGTAATTGGGTTTAAGTTTCCATTTCCTTGCTTCACCCCCATTTTCGCACCCTCATTTCTAACTGTCACTTTACCGTGTCATTCTCCTACCGATATTTTCCCACTGTCATTAAGCCACTCTCACTTTCTCATTGTCACCCCCACACGGTCAAATTACCAGTGCCATTTTTCCCCTCACTTCCATTGCCAACATTCACTTTCCTCTTTCTCATATCATCATGACATAGTCATCCCACTGCCATGCTCCCACTCTCATCATCCCACTGCCATGCTCCCACTCTCATCATCCCACTGCCATGCTCCCACTCTCATCATCCCACTGCCATGTTCCCACTCTCATCATCTCACTGCCATGTTACCACCATCACCATCCCGCTGCCTTGTTCCCACTATCACCATCCCACTGACGGAAGTGTGAGATGGGATGAGGTGATGGGAGTGTGAGATGGGATGAGGTGATGGGAGTGTGAGATGGGATGAGGTGATGGGAGTGTGAGATGGGATGAGGTGATGGTCATTTTCCAACTCTTTTTCTCTGGCCAGAGGTTTCACATAGGCTTTCGCCCGTTGCTAGCCATCACCATGTGTTCAGTCAATGCCCATTTTATTGCGCATGTGTTCATGGCTTTTTTGTTATTTCCTTGCCATATTTCCCATTGCTTGCCACTTTCCAATCAACTTCACTTGTCAATCCTAGTTGGCGAATCAATCAACTCCCGTTGCCTATGTCTCTGCTAGCTTTTCCCAACTGTTTCGCATTGCCATGTTCCCACTCCTTGCCGGTTTCCATTGTCCCATTGCAATTTCATCCTCTACCATTCCATCATCTGTAAACTGCTCTCGCATGCACCTGCCCATCATCCCAGCACACAGCCCTCCTCCCCTATTGATAATCTTCAATTTCTCAATCCCCCATAGTCCCTCTCTTGCATTGCATCCCCACCTCCCTCTCTGACGCTCCCAATGTAGCTACTCCTTTGTTGCGATCTGCAATTTCACAAGCCATTCTTCCACACCCATCTTGCCATTTCAGGAGGCATGGAGGGTCTAAAAGGGCGGGGAGAGGTAGGATGGGGAGGGGGGGTATAGAGTGTAGGGGGATGGGAATGCTGTGCAGCTTTCAGACTTGTTTTGCCGCCCATTCTCATTCCCCACTGCCTCTTTTCGCATTCCCCATCACATGCATCTTCCCAGCACCTATCCTCATGCTGTTTTCAGTACACCTGAATTTCCCATTGAATCATTGTTGAACTCCTTGGGAAATTTGTTCTTTTCCAGTCCACTTCGCTTTCTCATTTGCCCTGCGTATTTCCCGTTGTCTTATGTGTTGTCCAATCCTATCATCATTGATTTCCCAAATCAAGCCTGGGTCTTGAATTCTCCAGTTGCCTCCATTTAAATTTCTGTTCAGCTCTTCATGGCATTTTTGTCACTTGTTTCCATCAATTTCATGTTGCCATTTCCCCGTCCACCTCGCATTCATATTTTTCATGCCCCCAGCATAAAACATCTTTTACAGCGCCTTCTCTTTTTCCACACTCTCTCTTCCATTCTCAAATTTCTACCCAAATTCCAATTTCCAGTCACGTTTCTACAGATGCTCCAAGGCAACTTTTCACTGTCATTTTTGTTGAAAACTTTCCCCGAAGTAAACTTTGTCCAGCCACCTTCCCATTGCCATTTTCCCAGCCAATCACTTCCTTTGACATTTCCACCTCCTCGCTGCCTCCCCACACACAGGCTCACCCATCCACCCTTCCATCCCCCACGCACCCACCTCTCCTTCCCCACTCGTTCCATTGCCTGCCTTGCCTGCCACGGCATTTCCCATTTCCGTTGCATCTTCCATTGCAACCTTGCTATCTTAAGTTGTTGCCATTCCATTTTCCTAGTCAACTTAGCACTTACGATTCTCCATTCACCCTCCATCGCCATCTTGCTGAGACTTCTCAATCTCCATCTGACATGTTTCAACTCACATTCGCACTTTCATTCCCCCATTGCCATTGCCATTGCCATTGCCTTTGCCCTTGCCATCCACACGTGGCATAGAGGCGCCAGTCTGGAGTGCACTGACCAACGGAGAAGGGGGTGGGGAACAGCCCGCTGTGTCCTACTGATTGGTTGATGGGCTTCAGACTGGAGTGGCGTGCCATTCCACCCAATCTCACTTTCTCAAATATGTTGTGCAATTCATATTACCAGTCCGTTCCCCCTGCGAGTCTGCTCTTTCAGCCATTTTTTTTTCCGGGCCACCTTCCACTGGCGCTAGCTGGAGCTTCTCATATACTGTCCGGCCAAAACCTGCGTATGCCTCAGAATCGCTGGTTGACTAAATGTCTTCTACGGTACTCTGCCCAATTTTTCGAGCTCTACCTATGATACCATTGGCACAATAGACTTTGTTTCTTACAGAACGTGAGATTCGTGGGCTTGCTGCAGCAGAAACTCTTCCTATCATTGCACGACATTTGGGAGAACCACCGTCGTCAATGCTCATAATCCCAAGAACTTGCATTGCAGTGTTGTCCAATCTAATATGCTTGATTGACACTCTACCACCAGGTTACCATAAGGTGGTTTCAATTTGAAGGTCAAATCGCTGTTCACATAGGGTACATTCCACTGTGTACATGTCCTAATCGTACATGTGTCAAATTATATATATGTTTGTTTAGGTTGTCTAGGCTGTATGGGGGTTAGTACTAGGGGGTACACAAACTTTCTCGATACCCTAGTCTTGTACCCTAGCCTTCACCTAATTCACTCATTCTTGCCCTAAGTTCTTAACATGGTAGCCAGAGCAGGAGGTCTCTAGGACCTAGTTATTTTTTGGCCCACCTAACTGCCTGCCCTGCCTACTGCCCGCGCGCGCCTCGGCTGCATGCGCGCGTCACCTTTTTTTTTTTCGCGCGCGCGCCACGGTTTTAGCGCGCGCCACTACTGTAGCGCCGCGCGCCGGCCCGCGGCCCTTCGCGGCCCCTTCGCGACCCTTCGCGGCCCCTACGCGGCCCTTCGCGGCTCGCTCACGGCCCTTCGTGGCCCCTCCGCGGCTCTTCGCAGCCCCTTTGCGGCCTCCTCCGCGGCTCTTCACGGGCTGCTGTCGCTGCCCTGCCGCCCCATCGCCGCCGCCTCAGCAGCAGCTGCCGCCGCACCTGCCGCCCCGGCCGTTTCCGCCACGGCCCTTTGCCGCCGTCGCCACTGCTGTGACGACCGCCGCTGCTGCTGCCGTGACAGCGGCCGCCGCTCCTGCCGTGACAGCCGCTGCCGCCGCAGCTACTTCTAGGATGGCCGCCGCCACTACCGTGACAGCTGCCGCCGCCGCTGCCGGGACAGCCGCCGCCGCTCCTGCCGTGACAGCTGCCGCCGCTACTGCTGTGACAGCCGCAGCCGTTCGTCGCGGCCGCAGCAGTTCGTCGCAGCCGCCGCCGCCGTCCCGGCCCTGCTCTGCCGCCCTGTCGCGGCCCTGACCCTACTTGAGCACCTCGGCCCTGCCCCCTCGCTCGTGGGCTTCTCCAGCCCGCCCTTGGTAAGTGCATCGCCGAACCGTGCCCCTACTGCTGCTGCTCCTGCCCGCTTGCTTCTCCTGCTCCTGCTAGCCTGCTCCGCCTGCTGCCATGGCTAGTCCTGCTGTGCTTACCTTCGATGCTGAGGGTCGGGCGATAGACTTTGAGGTCTGGCTTGACGACTTGCAGCTTTTCCTGCAGTGTGATAGCAAAGACGATGTCTCGCTGCATGACCTCACGTCTGGTGCTTCCCCCCAACCTGCTGCTGATGCTGATGCTACTGTGCGCTCTCGCTGGAACACCCGCGATGCTGCTGCCCGCCTTGCTGTGCGTAGTCACCTGCCGTCTGCTGAGCGTGCGCACTTTACTCAGTTTAAGACCGCTAAGACCCTGTTCGATGCTGTCGTTGCGCGCTACTCCTCCCCTGCCTCTGCTGCCCTTAGCCGCATCATGCTCCCCTACCTTTTCCCTGACCTCGCCGCCTTTGCTACAGTCGCTGACCTCATTACACACCTCCGCACTAGTGACACTCGCTACCGCGCTGCGCTTCCTGCTGAGTTCTGCGCCAAGAACCCCCCCCCCATGTATATCACCCTCTACTACCTAGTCACCCGCCTCCCTGACTCCCTTCGCTCAGTCAGGGACCACTTCCTGGCTGTCTGCCCTACCACCCTCACCGTTGACCTCCTCGCGAAGGAGCACCTTGCAGCTGAGCAGAGTATAGTCGCTGTAGGAGCCTCTCGAGGTGACCCCCGTGCCCCTATCTTTGAGGGGTGCTCCCCTGTTCCCCTTTTGCCCTCTGTTGCCTCTGCTGCTGCGGTCGACCTCCTTGGCACTGAGTCAGTCGGCGCTGCGTCTGCCCCTAGCGGGAGGCGCCGCAACAGCAAGGGCAAGGGAGGCAAGGGTGCTGGAGGAGCTGGTGGGGGTGGCAGTGGTGGCGGTGGAGGCAGCCGGGGGGGTGGGGGTGGAGGTGGGAGTGGGGGCGGAGGTGGGGGCTCTGGTGGCGGCGGTGGAGGCGGGAGGCAGCGGCAGCGGCGGCGGTGGGAGTGGAGGAGGTGGCGGTGGCGGCGGTGGCAGCGGAGGAGGCAGTGGCGGTGGTGGCGGTGGTGCTGGTTGGGGTGGCTCCGTGCAGAGGGGAGGCTCTGGTGGTGGACAGCGTCAGCAGCAGCAGCGCTCTCGTGAGGCCCCGCCAACCCCGCAGCTTCACCAGTGGTACGCTGGGCGTCAGCGGCCTGGGGGTGCTGGTCCCTGTACCTACGTTCTGCGTACCGGTGACCGCACTGGTGAGCCGTGTGGCGGCCCGCACACCACCCAGCGCTGCTTCGGCCGCCTGACAGACGCCTGGCGTATCCGGTTCCCTGACGCCACTGAGCTCCCGCACTGGCATGAGCTACTTAGGTCGGGGGTTCCTATCTTTGATCTTGATGCGAGGGGCAACCGCCAGACGTTCACGCCTCTCCGCAGCAAAATGGGATTGCTGAGCGCCGCATTGGCATGGTCATGGATGTCGCTCGCACGTCCATGATCCATGCGGCTACTCCCCATTTTCTGTGGCCGTTTGCGGTTCAGTACGCGGCGCATCAGATCAACCTTCAGCCCCGGGTCTCCATGCCCGACACCTCCCCCACTCTGAGGTGGACGGGGCAGGTTGGCGATGCGTCTGCGTTTCGTGTCTGGGGATCTCGGGCTTTTGTCCGAGACTTGTCTACGGACAAGCTGTCCTCCCGTGCCGTTCCCTGCGTCTTCCTTGGCTTCCCCCCTGACGCGCCTGGTTGGCAGTTTTACCACCCCACCTCGCGCCATGTTCTGTCCTCCCAGGACGTCACGTTTGACGAGTCGGTTCCGTACTACCGTCTCTTCCCCTACCGCGCTGCCCCCCTCCCTCCCCCGCCGCTGTTCCTTGCACCAGGTCCCCCCCCGGTAGACCCCCTCCCCCCTCAGGGTCCTGCTCCTTCGGGTGTATCTCAGGTAGACCCCCCCCCCTTGGCTGAGCCTTTGGAGGTCACTTCCGACACCTCTGGCTCACCTGAGGGGGGTGAAGATGCTGCTGACGCCCCGGCGGCCTCCCGCCGCGCACCACGCTTGGAGACCCCTCCGGGGTTCCCTCCGCGACCTTCTTCACCGCCTCTGCAGCCGGTTACTGTTGACTCTGGTGCTGTTGGGGGTGGTGCTCCTGGAGGTGCTGCGTCTGGGGGTGCGGAGTCTGGGGGTGCTGAGCCTGTGCGTGAGGAGACTGGAGGTCCTGCGCCTGGGGGTGCTGTGTCTGGGGGTACTGAGCCTGTGTGTACGGAGTCTGGGGGTGCTGAGTCTGGAGGTGAGACGCTTGAGGGTACTGGGACTGCTGTGCGCCGCCTACTTGGAGTGGCCGCCTTCGTCCGCGTGTGCCTCTCACCACTCAGCAGCTGCACGACTGGTACGGTTGCCGTCAGCGTCGCGCTGCTGGAGCCCGGGGCTCTGCTGCTGGAGGTACTGGAGCTACTGGGGCTGGGGGTGCTGCGCCTGGAGGTGCCGTTGCTGGTTATGGGGGTGCTGCTGCGGGAGACCCTGCGGTTGGAGACCCTGGGACTGGAGGTGCCGGTTCTGGGGGTGCTGCTGCTGGTGACGCTGGTTCTGGTGGTGCTGCCGCTGGAGGTACCGGTTCTGCGACTGGAGCTGCTGGAGCTGCTGGAGGCACTGGAGCTGCTGGAGTTGCTGTAGACCCTGGGGCTCCTGGAGGCACTGGAGCTGCTGGAGGTGCTGGAGCTGCTGGAGCTGCTGGTACTGGTGCAGCTGCGCCGACACGACTGTTCTTCGCTCCGCCGTCTCCGTCGTCTCTGCCGCCGCCTGACTCTGCTCTTCGTCAGGTTGTTATTCTTCTGTCGTCTACTGGTCTTCCGTTACAGCCTGGCTCACCGCTGCCTGCTCCCTCTCCTTACACTGAGCAGACAGGTAGTCTTGCTGAGCGTCGTGAGCCTGCGTCGCGTCCAGTCTCGCCTGTTCGTTCTGGTCGTACTGGTCGTCGTGTTTCTCGTTCACGTCAGCCGACTGTCCCCAGTGCACACCTTGTTGTCCGTCGTCCTTCCTCTGCTCCGCAGTCTGTTCCTCTGCCGTCTCCCCCTGCGTCCTCTCTGCCTGCCGTTCCGGACCCTGCGTCTGACCGGTTTCGTGCTGAGCACCCTACAGTCACGCGTCTGCTTGCCACTGTTGTCACTGACCCGTCGTTTGAGTCTGCTGATGCGTCTGCCTTGGTCGCTGAGCTTGTTGACTTTGCTGCTGCTTGTCGTCTAGACTACGCTGCCAGCCTTGTTGCTGAGTCTGAGTTTGTCTGTCCTCCGTCCGTCGAGGGTGAGTGTGCTCTTAGCACGGACGTCCTTGAGGACAGGCAGGAGGACCTTGAGTGTCTTGCAGCCGCTGCGCCCCATCTCGTGGCCATGCTGCTTGCCCCTGAGGGAGACCCGGATGCACCAGACATCCCGACCCCGCGCTCTTACGCTGAGGCGATCGCGGGTGAGTACTCCTCTCAGTGGCAGACAGCCATGGATGCAGAGATGGCATTCTGGAAGTCCACAGGCACCTACGTCGACGATGTTCCCCCTCCTGGGGCAAACATCGTCAGTGGCATGTGGATCTTCAGGGTGAAGCGGCCGCCAGGTTCTCCGCCTGTCTTCAAGGCGCGTTACGTTGCTCGAGGCTTCAGTCAGCGAGAGGGAGTCGACTTCTTCCAGACCTTCTCCCCTACCCCGAAGATGACCACTCTTCGGGTACTGCTGCACGTTGCCGCTCAACGTGACTACGAGCTTCACTCTCTGGACTTCAGCACAGCTTTCTTGCAGGGCAGCCTGCACGAGGAGATCTGACTGCGCCGCCCTCCTGGCTTCGCTTGGTCGTTCCCTCCTGGTACCCAGTGGAGCCTCCGGCGGCCAGTCTACGGTCTCCGCCAGGCGCCACGTGAGTGGCACGACACACTAAGGACGACACTTGCGGCTCTTGGGTTTGCTTCGTCGACCGCGGACCCGTCGCTGTTTCTGCGCACCGACACCTCGCTGTCGCCGTTCTACATCCTCGTGTACGTCGATGACTTGGTCTTTGTCACCGCTGACACTGAGGCTCTTGCCCTGGTGAAGTCCGAGCTGCAGAAGAGACACACGTGCACAGACCTGGGTGAGCTGCGCAGTTACCTTGGCTTGCAGATCACCCGGGACAGATCACGCCGCACCATCACACTGACTCAGTCACACATGGTGCAGCAGGTCCTTCAGCGCTTCGGCTTCACCTGGTCCTCAGCACAGGCCACTCCCCTGGTGACAGGTCACTTGCTCTCAGCTCCACCTTCGGACGAGTCCGTAGAGCCGAGTGGTCCTTACCCAGAGCTAGTTGGCTGCCTCATGTACCTGATGACCTGCACTCGTCCTGACCTCGCGTACCCTCTTGGCCTTCTGGCTCGCTACGTGGCTCCTGGTCGGCACCGACCTGAGCACATGGCTGCTGCTAAGAGGGTACTGCGCTACTTGTGCAGTACATCAGGCATGGGGTTAGTGTTTGGTGGGAAGAGCCCAGTTGTTCTCACTGGGCACTCAGACGCTTCTTGGGTTGACGACCAGGCTACTCAGCGGTCGTCACAGGGTTACATCTTCAGCCTTGGCTCTGGTTCAGTTTCTTGGCGTTCTACTCGCTCGTCTTCAGTTCTCAGCTCTAGTTGTGAGGCTGAGATCTACGCCACAGCCATGGCTGCACAGGAGTTGCGTTGGCTCACCTACCTGCTGACCGACCTGGGAGAGCGGCCTTGTTCTCCTCCAGTGCTGTACGTCGACAACAAGGCTGCTATTGCCTTGTGTGAGGAGCACAGACTGGAGCACGGAACGAAGCACATTGCTCTGCGTTACTTCCTGGCTCGAGAGTATGCGGCAGCGAGGCCAGCTTCGTCTCCGTCACGTGGACACTCGGGCCAACACTGCTGATATATTCACCAAGGCACTTCCGTCTGGTGATCATCAGCGCTTTTGTACTTTGTTGGGCCTTGTGCCGACGTTTCCACACTTGCTGTAGCCTTTGTTTGTACTGTGATCTATATATATACCTGCATGTTGGCTCTTGCTAGCTAGAGATCACTGTACTGTTCTTGTTGCTTATATACCTCTGCATGTGGACTGGCCCTGTGGCCGTTTGCTTGTGCTCAGTGTGTGTGGTGACGTTGTGATCCACCCTGAGCTGTGTTTTGTCTCTTGACTGGTCTTGTGACCGTTGCTTGCTCTGGCTATCCCCCATTTCGCCTATGGGGGTGTGTCAAATTATATATATATGTTTGTTTAGGCTGTCTAGGCTGTATGGGGGTTAGCACTAGGGGGTACACAAACTTTCTCGATACCCTAGCCTTCACCTAATTCACTCATTCTTGCCCTAAGCTCTTAACAACATGTCCCAATCGGGTGTACCGCTCCGAACCGAACTAAACCAGAGAAGCGAAAATTTTGGAACTATGGTGTAATTCGGTTTAATAAGATGCAGTGCGGTAGAATCGATTGGGACACATCGATTGGGACGCTGTCCACAGCGGAATGTACCCTTAGTTGTCAGACTTGAGGATAAAATTGCACAAAAAATGCATGCATTGGTAGTCAGGCCCTCAGATATCAGGAAAAAAACCCTGAAATTCCTGATTTTCAGGGTAAATTTTTGTACCTACACTGATTTTCCAGTGTTCAGATTTTAGGGGAACTGATTTTCCAGCCATTTTTTCTCTAAGGGGACTGATTTTCCAGCCTTCACTGAATGCACATTCCCAATCCCTGCTGTAAAACACCCGAGATAACTAGGTGTTTAGATTTGCCACAGTTCATAGCGTAATGTCCTATTTGTTAGGGAATTTCGCTACGACAGGTAAGATTTCCGGTTCGAATCTCACGGCCGGCAAGGTTTTGTGAGAGTTCATGAGGGTGAAAGTCAGACTTCATTTTTAGGAGACCCTGAAAATTCAGACTTTTTTTCAGATGGAACACTAATTTTCGGCCTTTTTCACATAGGGACCCTGATACCCTGACGTCCCTAAAAGTGAATATGAGGCCCTGGTGGTAGTTGAATATTCCAATTGCCAGTCAAATACGACAAACTCACAAGCTGCACCATACATTGGTGAGCTTCTCAACAATTTTAAAACGAGAGAGGGTGATTCCAAAAAAATAAAAATCCATGTTTTTGTTCGACATCCATAAAGATTTTGTGGATTGTTGGTGGGAATATATGATTTGAACTCTGTCAATCTCACTGTTATATTTGAAAACGAAGCTGCACATAATAGCATTCGTTTTTTCTGTGCTCATCCCAACCTTGGAATCTGCCTGAACGACCAGCGTTTTGAAAGAAACCCTAGTTCCTCGAGATCTGTTTCTGGTACTCCGACATTTCCTAAGCTTCTGGCAACCGTCCGATCTTCACTGCTGCTCCGTGAGTTGCTAGGCGCCACGCCGCAGTACGATCCAATGGCCCCCAACTTAATCACCTCCGTAGATTTCTCGGTCGCTTGCTTTCGCAGTTCGTTGACGCTGACGGAACAAATCAAAGTGCTGGCAGCCTCGAGCATACCTTAGATTGGAGACCACACCCACAGGGACCCTACATTCAGTCAACGAGAAGCAGTGGCGTGCTTCCACAGCGGCGAGCTTGACGGAAGTGCGACTCGAAATGAGTTCGGGCAGCCGAAACGCTGAAATTTCGCAGCCCAGAATCGACTTGGTCCTAAATGAACGAGCCGCAACAATCTCGTCCGGCTGTGCCGAACCTCGAGGCTATGCTTGGAGCATTCGTTTTGGACAGCTTGTCATTGGCTGCTCAACCCCTAACGTTCTTTCTCCTCCAATCGCAAGACAGAGCACGCCTTTCCCGGGATAAACTACTTCCGCTATGGGCAGCAGACCTGCTTTCCCCCGTCTACCCACCACCGTTCCTTCTCTCCACCCGAGCTCCATCCACCTTTCCGCCTTGGAGCTGCCGTGCATTCCCGACTCTACAAACCACTCGCCATTCTCAATCATTAATTCATTCACCCGTTCGAGTTATTACTTGCTTCTGATAGCTATCACCTGGTTTCGACTTCCGGTTCTTGATACTTGTCATTTCCCGGTTGCTTAGACTCTCGCTCGTACCATGGCCGCGCGGATCGCCTCTCCTTTCCAGTATACGAGCCGTTCGATTGATCATGAATTCTGGAAGGACTTCAGCACGGCCGATTGCATGTGGCTGTACGCGCCGCTGACGTCATTGGGCATTGATCACGAGTTCTGGAACGATTTCAGCGAGGAAGACTGCACCTGCCTGTCTGGCCCGCTGGACTTCCCTGCACCTGCAGATACATCCATCGATCATGCGTTCTGGGAGGACTACAGCGACGAGGAACAAACGTGGCTGTATGTCCCGGGCGTTCCCTTTGTTGAGCCCGTTGTGACCCTCAGTTTCGGAGCTGCATCTGCTGCCAGCAGCACTCCGATCAGTAGCAGCAGCCGCAGCAACGGTAGCAGCAGCATCAGCAGCGACGACGATGACAGCAGCATCACTAGCAGCAGCAGCACCGTCGGCAGCAATATCATTCGCAGCAGGAGCCTCGGCAGCAGCAGCAGCGGCAGCGACGGCAGCAGGTCGAAGCGTGGCAGCAGTGGCGTGGCGTGCATGAGCAAGAGGCGGCAGCAGCGGCTGCACGCCGTTGCGGTGCGCGTGGGGCGGTTGAA